AGACAGCATGCCTTATACTAGACACCCAAGTTAGAGATGACTGAAGTCTTCAAGGCTCCTTCGCAAACAAAGGGCAGAGACAAGCCCCTCTATCAGGTAAACATGTCTATCCTAAACTGGACAGCCATCCTGGGAAGAGAAAAATCACCTTCTAGCCATGTGTCCCTTTCCACCAACCACACAGCTCAGAGAAGTTGCTTCAGCTAAATGCTTGGCTGTTAGCTGGGTAGATTAGCTAAAATGAATCTTGTTGGTGTGACTAAAGAACCAAATTCCCATTTGCAGTAGTGACCTAGGCACTCTTAGCCAGGTTGTTAGATTCACCAGGAACCTAAAAATAGAGTTGCAGTTACAGTAAGGGATGCCAGGCTGCTCAGCAGACTTTAGGTTCATTAGTCACACAACTGCCTGCATACTTTTGAAGAAGTTTCTTCCCCCTTCGGTGTCCCATGTCCAAAAAGCCTTGCACACAAGCTTGCATGCAGTTCTTCTATCTGAGGCAAGATGTAGGCTCTCTGAGGCAGAGCTGTTGGTCTAATTTGTCTGAGCAACACAGGACACACCATCTCCCAGATATGGTCTTCAAACACTACCATGATGCCAAGAACGGGAAAGAAAGAACAAGCCTGGCAGATGCCTATGAAAACCTCAGTGTTGTGCATTTGTCACTTCCTTTTAAGTGACTTCTTCTCTTCTCTGTGCACATCTGAGGAACTTCAGGCTTGTTTGGGAGCAGGCAGGACCCTGCCTCTAGACCTGTCTCCTGTTCTTCATGTCTGCTCTAGCAGGAGTGCAGGAGATACTCCTCTCTCCACCTCATGTCCTTCTAAGGAGAAGGAATTGGTCTAAATCCAAGCCAGTCACAGGGAAAGCTCACAAGAAGCTTTCATGAAGTTCTTCACCCTCTGCAATGTCCTTGGCAGAAATGAGCCGAAAATGCAGTGAGGGCAGCAAACCAGGCAATTGCCACAGCAGTGCTTCACACTCTACAACAGCTCCTAATACCTGGCCTCGTTAGCATCAAAGACCACACACTCTGAGGCAGATCATCTGCCTTTCGTTAGGTCTGGGATTATGCTGAGGGTGTCTCATTAGATCTCCAGTGCTGCCAGATAAACCCAGCCAGCCCACTCGGTGAAGCAGCAAAAGTGTCCTCTCCATCTGTATCACCGCTGCACGAGCCAGCACGGCTGTATGAAATCCAAGGTGGCCTGACAGTAGTTTCCTCTGTCAGCAAATTACCAAGGAGAAAAAAAATAGAAAAAGTAAATAAGAAAAAAGCTGCAGGGGGAGCAAGCATAGCAACAAGCTGGATAATCAACTGCAATTCAAAGCAAGGAGGATATCTGTTTATTCCCTCCATTTACCCACTACATCTCAGAGCTTTCCGCTTTGCAACTCCCAGCTCAGTGCTCAGCAAGTAAATAAATACTCCCAGAAATGAACTGCAAAAATTAGTCACTGCTAAACATTCTTGTTTTCTGTGAGTCCTTTTCAATCATCCCAGTAAAGCTGAAATTATCTTTATTAAGGTAATTGCTTCACTTTAGACAATTTAGTCTGTCGTCTGCAAAATGAAGAATGACCAAAGGAGCTGAATCTGCTCCTTACTGCATCCCTGCGACAGGGTGGGAGCCCGACACGCTTGCTGCATGCCGAGAGCAGGCCCTCCCTGCTGCGGGGCTGCCCAAAAAGCCTGACGACGTCCCTTCAGAGGCTGCTTTCAGCACTCCCCCATTGCTCCCTTTCCACAGCTCCCCAGCCCTAAAGGAAATATTAAGTGTGAAATACTACAAACCAAAGAAAATCTCACTTCAAGGGCAACACATTCAGGAAAAGGAATAAAAATAATAATCGAGGGGCACAGCTAGGAAGACAGCTTTGAAGGGCTGGCGGCATGTTTGTTAATACCGAATATTTCTACCTCTCCGTCGGAGCAGGAAGGGACGGAGCAGCCAGAAGGTCAGTGCTGGGTTGAGGAGTAACAGCCAGAGCACTTTATACTTGAAAAAAGGTTTGGCAAAACTTTGGGACATCAAGATTTTTGTCAGCCTTTGCAAACTGTTTTTGTAACTGTTGTTGCTGGGCATTTGGAGACAAAATATTAGAGACCAGGGGGAAAGGGGCTGCTGTAATTTAACCCAAGGACCTATGCCCTTTCTGCGGCTGAGAGGAATGGATGACCTGCAGATATTGCTTGTTGGCTCGTACACTGTGTAACATACCATCCACTGCTTCCCATTTCCTCTCTGCCTTTTGTTTGTGTTGGTGGGTTTTTTCAGGCAGGCTTCCTAGGCTCTTTTTCCCCTCTTTCAAAGATTTTCACTGTGCTGGATCTTTTCTCTCTGCTCTGAAGATCTGTGTGATACTGAGAAGGAGCCAAACATGCACAAGCTGACTGCAGTATCTGAAGCAAACTGGAAATCCTCCCATCTAGACTTGCCACTTTCAGGTGTCTGCTCCTTGAACCTGGTCCCAGGCACTGGTTTATTCTGCATCTGTCGTGTGGACAGAGCAGTCATTCCCAAACCCACTGCTGCCACAACAAGGCAGGGTAGTTTAAATATTTTGAAGATGTGGTGTTTGCCACCCTGATGGCCTAAGGGGAGGTAGGTACCAAGTGGCTGTGCACAGCACGAGCCTGGTGTCTCCTCTGACTGCTTCAGTTGAAGCTGCACAAGGGCTGTGGGCAGTGGCATTGCTCAAAAAGCCATCATGTTCCACACTTGCAGATCGACAAACTCCTTGCCTGCAGCTCCTCTGCGAGGATGAGGTGGGAATGCGCTTGCCAGGTGACATTGGTCCTTTCTTCTGCTATTATGCCTGAGGGCACTGATTAGGAGCAGGCAGTGCTGAACAGGGAGGCACGGAGCTCCTGCAGATCCTGGGTTAAAAATAAGGCAAACCAAGAGATGTTGCTGCAACGTGCATCTACTGCTTCCAGACCGTCTCCTCTGCTGGCTCAGCGCTCCCAGCAGGAACAGCTCATCATTAAAAAGAAATGAATAACTAGTCTTTTTTTCTTTCTTTTTTTCTTTTTAAATCCATTGCACAAGCACAGTCTGGAGAACATTTTCTGCAGCTGGCTGTGTGTCACCCATCTATTTTCTCGGGGCCCTGGAAACAATGGGGCCTGGTGTTTGCTGTCGGAGGCCAGGGCGCAGCTCTGCCGCACCATCTGTTCAGGGCGATGGGACAGTCACGCTCCCCCCCTCCCGCCTGGCACCCGCATGGTGGCTCTGAAAAAGGATCCAGATGAGGCATCCACGAGAATCCTGCAGTAGGCAGGGGGGCGAGGGGTCCTGCCAGAACCTTCACAAGGGGGAAGGTGACCCGCAGCAACCTCCTGCCTCTCGGGAAGCTGCAGTAGATGACTTGGTGTTGACACCCACCAGAGGTTGATCTCCAAGGCTCAGATGATTTGTCATGGAGCTAATAAAATAATCGATGCTGGGGAGAACGCCCTGAAGTAATTGATAACTGGGGTCCTCCAGGTAACATCTGGCACTGACAAGTAATAATCGCCCGGCCAAGAGAAAATTGCCGCAGTGCAGATCACTGTCAAAGATGTCTGCTGCATGTGATAGATACCACCGGTGAGTCTCTCTCCATCTCCTGCTTCACCAACAGGGAGCGAATCCAGTCCATTGGAAATCCCCCGCCTGCTCCCCAATTACATCTACCACAACTAGATAATTTTAGAGATTGCTCCCCAGCTACTACCTACCCTGAGCTTTGCAAACAAAAGTAATGATCACTGCTCCTTGTTTTATTACGGGTCTGCTGAGCTCAGAGACCTCAAAATGCCACCTTGCAAATATTAATTCATGACGCTTCACGTCTGCCTCTGGTGTCAAGGAAACGTTCACAACCATTTCCAGCTAATCATAAAAACAGAGGCTGTTCCTCACTATTGTTCTCATAAAAAGTGCTCAGAAAAAGTTGGCTAAGTCATGTGCTCCATTCATTGCAAATGTTGTCTTTATTTTTAAAAAGCATAACCACTCACTCATATTTTTGTGCTCAGTATAAATCATCTCTGTTTGAAAACTAGACAAAAACCATCACATTGGTTTAGCCTCTGGGCTTTTCTTTTGTTTATCCACAGGCCTAGATAAACTGTCGACTGCAGTGAAGGTTAATCACAACAAACCAGAGCAAAGTTGTTCACCTGTTTAAATTAATTTACCCATGAATTCTGTTTGTGACTCCCACAGCTGCAGGGCACTCCTGCACAGTAACCTTCAGTCTGTACGCTCCACCTGCCCCTATATCAAACACCTTGGGCAACCCCAACCCCAGCGATTTAACCCAAATTCGGAGGGCAAAGAGGCAATTTCACCTTCAGTTGAAACATCTGGAATGCATCAGGCTGCCAGCAGTCCCCTTGCACTCTGAGCCCAAAGTACTACATGTGATCATGTAGTTAGGGCCCAGTTCAACAAAAGCACCTCAACCTGAGCCTAATTTTAAGTTAACTTAGTGCCAAGTATTGTGCCGAGTAGGGGTGGGTGCTTGCGTGCCCCGCTAATCAAAACCATGTGGTGCAGTCAAACAGAGGAGCCTGTGCCCTGATGATTTTTTTAGCTCCTTGTCAATCTTCTGTTTCCCTCTCTGCAAATTCCCCAGTGACAAGCCCAGCACCAAAACCACACATATCCTCCACGATCACTTATTTACAGTGCTAAGGCTCTAAACTGATACTTGGTAAATCTCTTTTGCGGGGGAGCTGGGTCAGCACTGCCAATATTATAATACAGCCTAATCATTTAACAGTTCTCCCCTTCACACCATCATTCCTCGTCTAACAGCTCTGGCTTTTGGCGCTGAATACTAATGCCACGGGCTCATCAGTATGCTGGAAGGCTGCATGTGCATCTCAGCCGTGCACACTGATAGCATGAAATCCATGGAGGGCATACTGAAAAGTCACACGCAGCTCCATAATACCACCAGCATACTTCAGAGCCTCTTACCTGTCGCTGATATAAAGAGCTGGCCCCAGATGTCCCATGGATTTGGCCCCGCCACACTCATCATCATGGACATAGACAAGACTCTTGTGAAATGCAAGCGACCTGCCCAGGAGAAAAAAAAAAAAATGTCTTTTCCAGGATGTCTCCACCTTTCTCATTTTTTATGCAAACCTTTCATTTACACAGCTTCTCCTGCTGTCACACTGAAAGCATGACCTTGAGCAAAAACGCTTTGCTCTTCTTAAGGGACCTAACAAGCTCCTGAAAGCACAGAAAGCCATGCACAAAACAGATCAGCAGCCCTTTAGGGTGTGGGATGGGACACAAAGCACAGCAGCAACTACTTTGTCTGAACCAGTGGGGTCTACCTCCAAGAATGTAATTTGTCTGGATTCCATATTTTCATTAATGTATTTCCATTTCTTGTGGCATCTCCCTGGCCAGGCAAAAGGGCCATGCTGTGGCTGGGGCAGAAGCCCTGCAAGTGTCACCCCCACCCAGGAGCAATGGGGCTGGTGGGCTCCTTCCCTCCACTGCATTTCTGGGTTTGCTCTGTAACACTGAGTACTGACATAGCATCCTTGATGCAAATGGCAAGTTGATGTCTGCCAGATTCTGTCAGAGGGGTAGATCCTGACTACATGGAGAAGCTGTAGTCAGGATCTACCCCAACCTGCCCATTCTTGACTAGTCAGCAGTGAACCTAGCCTCAGGTCTATAAGGAAGACACCTGCGAGTCCTGTCCTTTTTCTCCTTAGGCAGATGCACCATTCATGTGCTTGCATGAGTCAGGACTCTCATAATTATTATATTACAGACATAACGGAGAGCAGAGAAAAACCTCATGATCCCAGGCACTGAGTAACCACAGAGGGACAGATGATCGCTGCCCCACAACATTTATTGTATGGCTGAGCAAGAGAGAACAGCTAGGATGGAAATGAAGAGGGAGAAGACGTACCTAAAATCACCCAACAAGGTAGCAGCAGCTTTGAGAACTGAGCCAGCTCCCAATCCTGGGCTCAGCACCCTATTGACCTGCACAAATTGCTCTGCATTTCAGGAGTACTCAGAAAAGAAACCAAATATAACACAGAAATAAAACACGTGAGGCTAGTTAGCTGTCTCATTATATCTCTACCAAGTGTCTGCTCCAGCACTGGGGCTCTCTCTTTTCATCCATACATACAATATACCCACTGTTATCCCCTCTGACTCTGGAGTCGCATGACCCAGCCATGAAAAAATGGTTCTGATTCATTTACATTAAAGATGTGGATATTTTAAGGGTCACTGAAGACCTTCTTGTGATTGTCAAATGTCCACAGTGAAGCACACAGAGCAAAAGCCACTGGGTTATGAAATGTAGCATTTCTTTCATTCTTATCTCCTTTCTCCAGCTTGCCAGAACACTGCAAGCCATCATATTGATATATAAGCAGCAAAATCTCCCTCCCAGAATGGAAAAAATAATTCGCCTTTAAACAACATTGGCTTTAGCCAGTGAAATGCACAGCTACAACTGCAGGAAACACGACACAGGTTATTACAAATATTAAATACGAGCAACCAAAGGATAACAAGAAAGTGCAACCATGAGCATCGCCTCAATAATTTGTGGCAAGCTGTGTGGTGCCATAGGGAAGTGAACATAGCTGGCATGCTATGCACGGATCTGAGTTTTCCAGGCAAGCTGAATTGAAATCAAACAGGATGGAGGAAACAGGTTGCTCTGCAACCAGACTTCAGGCTCAGTTCCTCAATTAGCTTTCTGATGAAGCATTGCCTTTACTTTGAACCCAGTCCTGGGGGAACCAGCATACAGCTGATGTATCCTATGTGCAGACCACTCTCACGTGCTGGAAATATCTATTTACAAGCAAGGCAGATCAGAGCAAGAAAATTGCCATCTCGGCTTCCCACTCCTAGCCCTGCCAGCTCTCCTCAGCCTCCCACTCGCCGTACAAAGCCTCTGGCCCCATTTTTCTTGTACTATGCTGGAGCAGTCAGCAAAGGCTTCACTGCCACAAGTGCTGGCTGGGTCAAGGGATCTCTCTCCTCAAACCCACACGCACGTCCCACGGACCTTGGAGGAAACATGCATCCGGTCCTGAAAGTCAGCAGCAGGCACTAAAAAGACCTTTGGGAGAGGTGTCGGGCTGGCAGCAGAACTGGCGGCTGTGGGAGGCATAGCAAATCACAGCAGCAGAGGGACCTGTCCCCAGGCTGGGACATAAGGGACCTTGGGGACCCATTATTGAGACCTAATAATACAATATCCATGCACGGAGTGATCGGTCAGATGTTCTGCCAGACATCACGCACGGCAGTCTATCTTTATAAATTAGCCTTTATTGTCCCTTTTGTAAGGGAAGAGGAGGAAGAGGAGAGTCTCTAGCCCATTCCCACATCTTAGAGAAGAAATCCTATATTATTAATATGTTCATCCATCATGCTGCCTGCTCTGTAAGAAATGCACTCCTTTTAACACAGAAATCAATCCTTTTCTATGGAAAGGAAACAAATGTAATCACTACTAAGTATCACTAGTCCTTCTTGGCTTTTGTATCTGGGGCCCTGAACATCTTGATATTCTTCATGGATTTTCAGTGCTGACCAAAAGTTGAACTCACTGCAAGTGAAATTTCTGGAGGAAGCTGGGAGTGTCCCATCTGAAAGCTATAAAGAGCTCCATGAAAAACAACAGAAAACACTCATACGTCTGCAACAGATTTATTTGTTGGATTAAGGAAGTCTTCCCTATAGTTGCATTTTATGTCCCAAACTCGGGAAAGCATCCCCAATCAGGATATCACTCAAACACATGATTAATTTTAGAACAGACATGCCAAACACACGATCTGTTGGCCAGCTCCAACCTGCACAATACATTCACCATGCGCTATGTGTCATACTCTCCAGAACTATATTTTCATTCCATAAATTATTTTTCTTGCATTCCTGACTGCAAAGACCAGAAACATGGTGCAACCAGCGCAGCAGCATCTGTCTGTCTGTGTGGGCACCCACCAGCAATGGTGCTGAGGGGCAAATACCACGGACCCTCTCCTTTCAGATGGAAGTCAGAAGTCATCCTTCCCATCCCACACAATGAATCTGGGACAGTACGCCCAAATTCTTGCTTTGTCCCGCCATGGTTCCTCTGGATCTCAAACAGGAATGTCACTCCTACCAAACTTTCAGGGCTCACCAGAGAGTGTGATGCTCACTGAGAGCACCCCAGTCCATGCAGTGTGCTCACAGGGGAATTTGGTCTGCAGCATAGCTCAGATGTCTTTCCTCAATGACAGGAAAGAGGAATTTAACCAGCTCTCTAAAGAAAGAAAGGAGGAATGCAGAGAATGAACCCACCAACTTTAAAAAACCCAGGAAGCTGCCTTTTAGCCACTGAGACAATCTCGCTGATAGACTTGAGTTTTCTCACCCCAGCCGGGAGTAATGTTTTCTTTTTTTTTTTTTTTTTGTTTTCCCCCCCATTTGCTGAATGTGTTCATTCTACAAAGGTTTTTTCTTAAAAAAAAAAAAAAAAAAAAAAAGAAAAAGACAACAGACATTCATGGCTCCCAGCTGTCAAAAGCCACAAAATGCCTGAGGCTGTCTGTCTTCTTGCAAATGCTGAAGCCATTTTCCTGCAGTATATGTTCTCATTAATTAAGTTTCAGACTCGACTCAGTCTGTATCATTGCCCATAAGCCAAGAGAGACACTGTAGGGTCAGTAATGTAACACAGCATCTCCAAATCTACCACAGCATTGTCGGACGCAAACGTGTCAGCTGGGCTCTTCTCCCAGTGAAATCAGTAGGAGATTTTTATTTTAATATGGCTCAATTCAAAGTCAGGATCAATGTCTGAGGAATAGAGGTAATAACTACAAATTGGAGGACTGTTTCTTTGAACATCATTACCAGAAAACAGCACAGCCCCAGACCCATCAAAATGAAATAGTTGGGGGGAGCTGACTTAACTCCATCCCTGCAAGACCTAATACAAGAATGTTTAATTTCCACTGAACCACTAGACATAGGCCTGGCTGGTGACTGGTGGTGTCCCCCCAGCTCTTGTTGCTGAAGTCCAGAGAGCAAACGGGGTCCTGGGATGTGAATATATGTGGGATGCCAAGAGGGGAAAGAGACCATTTGCTATTTGCTGCTGGAAAAACATATCCATGCCTGGGGTTTTTACTTCACAAAGAAAGTTGAAAAGATGCAAATGTTTCAGGGAAGAGCTCTAATAAAGGGGGAAAGCTAGTCTTGAGTGACAAGTTGGAAAGTCAATCTGCTCAACTAATGCAGCAGAATGCAAAAGATGCCAACGTTGAGGCCTGTAAGTATTGGAAGAAGAGACATTTTCCAGTACTGGAGCCTCTCCCAACTGGCAGAGGCAGAATGACATCACATAGATGCAGGTTTGGACTCAAGTCATTAAAACTGGAAATCCAGAGCTACAGAAATTGAACAATGGCAATCATGAAGAAGTGGAACGGCTTCACTGGGTCTGGGCAGAGACAGTGCAGCTCTGGCACACACTATGCCCACAAAACCCTCTCATCTTGCTTGCAGCCATGGGGAATGAACAAGTTAAAACTGAGGCCAGCGAAGAGCAAGCAGTGACGTGACCTGCTGCTCACTGCCAGCTCAGCAACATCACCCACAGGCCCAACCTGGCCAATGCGGGCTGGAGCAATTGGATGTAATTGCCCCTCCTTGACATTCTCACCTCCACAGAAGTCACAAAAGGGCCTCCCACATCTGCAACAGCAGTGGAGGACCTGACTCTCACATGGGATCCTAGAAGGCTGATCATAAGGCTCCTCTTGGCCAACGTGAAGGATGACCTTTGCTCTGGTAATGAGATATTTCATGTCTTGAGCTTCTTTCCTTTAAGTCAGGTGAAGGGTCAAGGCAGCACAGCTTCACTGTGAAGCATTTGTCACATGTCAGTATTCAATTAATGGCTGTGAAAATGTCCATCAGGAGTCCAGTGGCAACCAAGCAATGTGAGAGTCAGCATGGGAAGACAAGCGACAGCAGAGGGAAGAAGCAAGAAATATGAGCAGTCCTGCACATACTCCTGGGAGAAA